AGAAAACAGTATGAGATAAATAAGGTCTTTCCTCAAACATAAAGTGTTTTCTTACGCAAAAGACTAGAATTTGTTCAATCCAACAGCAAAAAAGGTACATACCCCACTGAATACTGAAACAATATTAGTTATCACTGTACCTGTAGTGCTAATAAGTAATTAAAATGAGATAAAACATGTGAATCAGCGTGTTAGGAGGACTAAAAGGAAGTCTTAAAGTATTGAGATAATTTGCAAACTATGAACATTCCTTATTAACCAAACTAGGCATTTGCAGCACAAAAGTTACCATAGGTAAGGTTTAGTTTGTTCGCTTTTAAAATACTCTGTCAGTTCTGCTGATAAAGTAGCACCTCATTTCAACAATAATTTTGAAGTCAACTGAGCCATACTTCATAAATAAGTAACAAGAAATAAGGAAGCACTGACAGTACTTCCAAAATTTTGCTTAAAACAAAAATTTTCTCTACCCTTACTTCATATAGCGATAGAACAGCAAATGGAAAACTGGAAAAATCTCCAATATCGCATTTTTAAAGAGTCTCGTCCGCAGCCTCCGAATGCTCTGAAAAACAACTCACTAAGGTCACTCTGAACCCAAGCCTTAAAGCCAGCTTATGCATTACTAAAAGTACCTCATCTACTAGTGTAAAAACAAAAATTCAAACAAGTAATTTTAGTTCTAAATGAGCTCCAGATCCAGAAAACTCGGGTATCGCCTCTTTATATCCCCTCTCCCCCTAAAAAGGCTAAATTCCCTGCTACATCAGCTAATTTACAGCACTTAGCTTTTGAACTATATTGAATTATGGTGAGCTTACCCATCCAACACTTCTGCTTGATACGGTATTTCAAGTTTGGAGTAGCTCTTCTCTTTCGCTTTAACAGTTATTTTCCCAGAAGACTGTGATGCTTTTTTTGCTTTTGACGCTGTACACACAAGAACATAAGAAGTTTGTTAAAGCAGAAAAACAAAAAAGATCCATTAGGTTAGACTAGTGTGAGTGGAAGAATAAAAGCATAGAGCTAGCTCAAAAATAAAGTATCACGGAAGACAAACATGGATCTTCAGTTTGGGAAGCAAGAGATCAGAGTTCTGAATTCCTCCTCTTTAGTAACAGTTGACCTGACTGAGTTAGTAAGCTTATCTAAGATAGGGAAGCCTGGTTGTTCCTGTCAAATAAATGATTCTGACACGTCCAGAGGATAGCTCAGATCCCAGGCGAGCTGAACTCCCCACTTAACAATATGGAACACACCTATCCCTCCACTAAGAGAACAGAAACCTGAGGTGGCTGAGCTCCTCACGCAGAGCTACCAGCCGAGCAGGACCGAATGCAGCAACATTTTAATAATGAAGAAATCAAAGAAATGCTGAACTTTACAGAAATAGAACCAGAATCCATGTGCGAACGCAAACTACACAAGCACCAAGAACGACGCTCACAGGTCTGCTCCAAGATCACAGAACAAGCAGCGTCAGCCTGGTAGCAGTATCACCAGAAAAGCCAAGGGATTCAAATACCAGTTAGGGGAAGCCACCAGCCCCTAAAGCCCCTGCACGTATTAGGACAGCTGAAATGGCAAATATTTAGGGCTGGCTGCTTCACTGAAAAGAATTCCCTAAGTCAATCCCTTAAACACATTAAGCAGTTTGACTGGGTATTTTTCCCCAACTACCACTCCTTGCAAGATCTACCACATGTTAGTCAGTAGGTCCTCGTACAACACTTCCCTCCAGTTTCAAAATCTGAACACATCATCACCTCAGGTTGACAGAGCGCAACTATTTCATAATTTATTTATAGGCTAAAACATACTTCACTCTTCTTACAAACCATAAGCTACTAAATATCTAAAGTACTAATCAATAAATAACAATAAAAAAAAAAATAATCAATCCTCTCCTCTCTATCCATACAACTTCTAAAATTATGTCTACCTGAAATCAAAAGCATTACATCTATAAACTCCCATTTTTAACCAATCCAGGCAGAAAGACTTACAGCACCAAGTAGTATCTTAAAGCAGTAACATCTGAGTAGGTCAACAGCATTCTGACAGTTGATTAAAATTTCTACAAAAATAGAGGTGCCTTTCTACAGAATGTCAGCATAGTATTTACAGTCACACTATGCAGGAGGAAAATGAACCAACACTTCTTTCATAAAGATATAAATGAAAGTCAGTATCAGCATATATAACATATCTTTGTAGGAAAAGTACCAGTAAAAGATTTTTCCACATTCACATCCCTTTTTAATATGAATTCAAGACAGCAAAAGAAAATGAGCCAGCTTTCACAGTAAGATCCTCAAGAGCATGACAGAGCCCTATTTCCATAGGCATTCCAACATAAAATATACTTTTTTTAGAAATAAGATTTTTGGATTCTTTTTTAAACTTTGAAAGGATCAAAGGCCAATCCAAGGGATATACTCTCCTCTAATATACATTACTGTGAGAAACACATCCTGGTTTGTTAGGATTTCTCAAAACCAAATGCCTTTTTAGACTAACAATACATTTTTAATAATCATAGAATCATTAGGTTGGAAAAGACCTCTAAGATCATCAAGTCCAACTGTCAACCCAACACCATCACGCCCACTAAACCACATCCCAAAGCGCCACATCTACATGTTTTTTTTAACACCTCCAGGGATGGTGACTCCACCGCTTCCCTGGGCAGCCTGTTCCAATGGTTGACCACTGTTTCGGTAAAGAAATTCTTCCTAATGTCCAATCTAAACTTTCCCTGGTGCAACTTGAGGCCGTTTCCTCTTGTCCTATTGCTTGCTACTTGGGAGAAGAGACCGACCCCCACCTCACTACAACCTCCTTTCAGGTAGTTGTAGACAGCGATAAGGTCTCCCCTCAGCCTCCTCTTTTTCCAGGCTAAACAACACCAGTCCCCTCAGCCGCTCCTCATAAGACCTGTTCTCCAGGCCCTCCACCAGCTTTGTTGCTCTTCTCTCAAAGTGTCTTAACACAAGAATACTGCTTATGTTTAATAGAAGAATTAAAAATTCCTTCTCTTCTTTACCAGTCTAAGTTACTTGCTGATTATGATCAGAGACAATCCCTTCAGAAATAACTGAAGTTAGAAGAACTGTAAGGCTTTTCCAGGTAGGAAAATTCCATTTCATTCTCAAAATTAATTACAAATAACATTTTGTTAAGAGAGTGAAAATAACTCATGAAGTTTCAGCAAGTTTTAGGAAGCACATGACAAGTTCTAAGAAGAGAGGAGCAGTACTTACCATCAAAGCTAATACTTGCAACTTTGGTATATTTACTTTCAGAGGCTTTTAACGTAACTGGCTTGAAATGTACTGTTATAGCTTCGTTCTGTGGTGTAGGTCTAACACTCTGCAAACAATCAAAATAGGAAGCACCTGTAAATTTATCATTGTTAACACACTGTGCAGCCTTCACGTATCCTTCAAAGTGATACAACTGCAACTGTTCTGGCTGGGTTCTTACGGGTCTGCTTTTCCTATAACAAAGCAGCACTGAAAGAGGCTTTAAAGTTTTTTCAGGTTCTGCAAATTACTTGGTCAGTATGCAGGAAAGTGGGGAAGAGAGTTCTCCTTGGAAATGTTGGATGAAGTGACAGTATGGCCTGAAACATGTTAATAAAACAGAAAACAAGCCTTGTTTAAATTAAGATTTATTTTTTATCCTTAATGTTGCAGGGTTACCATAGCTAGACTATTTTTTTCTGGTGCACTCTTTAACGAAGCTGTTAACTGGCTCGTGTAATTACTGGTGATGATACAGACATCTATCTACCTTGTCTCTGATCCTGTGCTAAGTCTGCAGAGATGCCACAGGGAAATGAAACAACACCGTATAGAGAATGGTTTTGTAAAACTGAGATGACACTAATTCTATACCAACATCTTACAAGATCATCTTTTGTATCTGAGGATTACTGTTTTAATTTAAATGGAAAAGGTAAATTGGGCATTGCTGGGATAGCAAATCTGTTGGTTATTAGCCAGAGCTATTTGTAGAGATACTCATTGCTATGCACCAGGATTATGGATTCCATGCCAACATCTGAAGCCTCTCTAAAGGTTGCTAGCAAACTCTTTATCTAGATTCCATGGAGAGAAACTGGGCACAGAGCATTTAAATGCTCTTATTCTTGTTTTGCTTAAAATTAGGATGGCTGCCATGATTCCTCCTCCCCAGCTGTCTTCTCCTGCTGTAAGAACAGCTCAGCTGCTCACGTAGCAGCTGTTAAGCCACTGCCAATTCAGGATGCTGTATGAAGGAAAGCAAAATGAGTGCTGGTTTACCTTATGCTGGGCTGCAGAGGTTTAGCACCTGCTCTATAAGCAGCTGAGCCTTTCTTGGTCAGAGAGGAGCAAGGCAGACAGCTAGTGGTACAAACCAATTACAGTTCTTCCATGGTAAGTTGTCCTTGATTGTAAATTAGAGCCATAAAATCGTGCATACGTAACTAATTTCTGCAGACTGCGTGATCCTTGGAGGAAACAAGCAGCACTGCTCCCACAGCTAATGAATAATCTCTGTTAACTCAACTAGAAGTTTTGTATTTTGGATTTATAGTACTGACCTTTGTCAACCATTTGCATATACACAGTGCAGATATTTGCTATTTCTCTGTATATGTCAATTCATAATTACCACAATTTTCTTCTGATGAAATCCATACTACAAAACTGAGATCTTCAGGTGTCTTTAAAAAAAACACCCTCTTAAAGCAGATTAAACCAAAGCTGTAATCACGTTCACAACTTTTGCGTGGCAGAAAAGATAATCATTTCTAGTAGCTCTTTTCATGCAAATGGCTGGGTTTTTAATTAGTGAAGTTTCAAATTTTGCTGATTTTAGTAAATAAAATCTTAAATATTCAAAAGGACAGCCTGTTGCCAGAAAAATGGCATGTTTCAGAGGTGCATCTCTTAAACAAGTGTAACAAACCTAGATGTATTTACTCAAAATGTCTACAGCTAATGATTTTAGTTGAGGAAGGAATTTACACTGTTTTGTGAAAATCTCTTAACTACATCATGCACATTTCTCAGTTGTTGCTTGATACTATAAAAGGAAATACAGAACTAACACAACTAGATAAAAAAACCCAAACATCCTTAAGGATCCTTTCAACTACACTTCCCTCAAATTTCAACCTATTTCAAATAAAGCCCAAGCAAAGCTTGTTCTGAAATGTGCCTTAAGAATCATCAAATACAGACAGGTCATGCGAATACTGCAAAACAAGTTCCATCAAGAATCTAATACCACCAATTTTCTCAAAATCTCTCGTACCAGCAAATTCAGTGAGGAAGAATTTAAAATAGACATGCTTCAGTAACACATGGCTCTCCCATGGAGTCAAGATTCCTGACCCTGCTGTATGAAGATACATTCAATGTTTAGCATAAGAGCAGAAGCATAAGAACAGAAAATGAGGACCTTAAATCTTCTAGAGAACACAGAGCAGGGGAGAAAGTTTTGTGCTATTGCAGCAGTTATTGGGAAGGACTTCGAACGTTTAAGGACTCTCAGACTATACCTATTCTAATAAAATAAAGAGGAGAAGAGTATGGCTTGAAATACTGGCACGTGTTCATCTATACTGTTTACCTGTCAGCAGGCTCCTGAACATAGTTTTGTCTTCTCCACCCAATATATTGCTCTAAAGACTGAGCAGGCTGTAGAATTCTGCTTACAGGCAGTAAAGACACAGCTACCTGCCGCAAGAGGAAAAAGCCCTGTGGCTACAGGCAGCAGGCTAAGGCTGGTTCCATTACCGTCACAATCCACCTCCGTACCATTTTATTCACTTTTACAGACACAATTATTTTGTCAGTAATATTTTGGCTTTCAGTTTAAACAGGGACACACCTAACTAACTGAAGTTTACTTTCACCATAAAGCACCATGCAGAACAGCTACGGAACAAATGACTACTAGTTTTTAATCCTTTAAGGTAACTTTCCCTTGATAACTGAGATGCGTGCACTCAAATGTGCAGACTGAAAACGTAATGCAGAAGTAAACTACTTCTTGCAGGTTCATAAGAGAAAAAAAAAAATCTATTCTGAAGTATGCGAATTGTGACAAAAGTAAGTAAATACTTCCTTATACCAACACTTATATTTTCAAACTGATAGAACTCAGCTTCAATATGTGTCTGTCCTGAAGTTCCTGGTTCTTTATGCATCAAACATGATCAGGAACTCAAATTTTAAGGAGTGTCTTTGTTTTTAGCAATTAAATGGTCTTAAATTGCCTTAAGAAAACACAAAATTTTCATTCTAGAGAAGGGATAAAAGAAAGTGTTCAACAATCTACATTTACTAGATTTTTGACAGCGTGGCTTGACTATTGCAGCATGACAGCAGTTCCTCCAGTCATGAAACAAACGAGATTCTCCCTAATAATGGAGAAAACCCTACAAAATGTAATTTAAGGAAGTTTTTATAAAGAGTTTTAGAACTAAAAAAGAAAGTCAAGTGACTCACTCTTATTTTCCTCAACCAATTTGTGGGACCACAGCATGACTAAGTACATAAAGACAGAACAACTACAACACTGGCAACAGTAATAGTCTCTCATACAGATGACCTGAAGGTATTTAGTTCCTCCAGCACCCAGCTTAAATACATGCTAAATATAGCCTTGGCCTTTTCTTCTGACATTAAGATGAAATTTGTCACAGAGCTCTGTCTCACTTTTAAACCCTAGCTGTAAAGGGTCAGAAATCCATTTATCAAGCTTTCCTAGAAGTAGCTATTCACCAGGTTCCTTCCAAAAATTCTTCTACTCTTTACCACTTTGAAATTCCTCAGTTGGCACAGCAGCAGAAATTCACATAGTGCTTCAAATGCTAGAAAGGTTACAAACTTCACAACAAAGCTGTGCCTTAATGAGAAGAACAATTGACCTGATGTGCTGTACGTGACACACCGAAAAATAAATCTTATCTGGACCTATGTGGTAATTTTATCATTGCAAATGCAAGTCCTAAAAGCTTTAAGACCACCGAATTTGCTGCTTTGACACAATGTGAAAGAATAATTAATCTGGAAAAGTTCTGTCAGGACATGTATAATGGTTATCAAATGATAAGTCTTCCATTAGATCGCAGTCTTCTATAGTCTACGGTCCAAAGACCATAGCTTAAAAAAAAAATGGGTAAATTTTTGGTTTTTTAATGGAGGAGTATGAATTAGGTACTACATTATGAGATATTAGAAGTGATGTTGATGGTTTGAATATATGGTTATTTGCACTGTATTCAGGAAGTACATTACACACTCTATAAACAAAAACAACCACTAAAAACTGTCCCTATGCCAAAAACCTGGCAAATCTATGAAGATGGACATAAGACAGCAGATATAGCTGGAAAAACAACTTAATATATTTGCCAACCCTTTGATTGTAAAAATCATACATAGGTCTTTTTTTAAATAAAAACTCTCCATGGGAGATGGTTCATAGCTTACAAGGCCACAAGAGACCTTACAGGATTCATCTGGCCTCATTAATGCGATAACCATCAGGACTTAGACGAATTAAATTCTGTTTGCGCTACACTGCAAGTTTCTCTTGACTTGAAAATTATTAGTGAACAGCAACTCAGAGAACATTGCAATGGACTATTATCACAGTGGAAAGTTATCCTTGTTACTAAAAAACCTGTCCTGGTTTTAGTTTAAATTCACCCAGCCTCCGCTTCCAGTATCTTGGTTTAAGTTTTCATTAGACCTCTACTATTAAAATACTATTTCCTCCAGTTACAGCCATAAGCTTTAAAAACACAGAAATGCTCTCCAAGAGCTCAGTAAGAAACCTTTGCCAATCCTTCAGTCATTCTTCTGGCTCCTCTGGTTTCTTTTCAACACTTCAACACTTTTTCAAGTGCACTGGGACAAGGTATAGCTAGCTATACAACTAAAGCTGGAAAACAAGGAAGACAGGAAGGGGAAAATGAAGAAGTGAGAAAAACAGTGGGCAATGAGAAAAACTACACAGGAAAAAGGTATGAATGAAGGCGGACTACCAGACTAGAGCCAAAATTCTGTAATAAAAATAGAAAGCAGAAAACCCAATGCCTAGAATTCTGAAGCTGGCTGCACTTTGCGTGCAGCTGCAGTGATCTCACTGGAAAGGGCTCTAGAGTGTTTGCAGGCTTTTTCCTTATTTCAAGCTACAAAGCAGAGAACCTCAAGAAAACAAGGGTCATTTTACAGTCTGCTCTTGAAAGCTACTTTTTGCTCATCTTGAAAGATTATGTTGGGCAACCACATTACACACTCTCACGGAGCATGTGATGGGGTCAAAGAATCCCACAGACTCTGCATTAATCTCTCGTTCACTGAACAGGAGTTACTGTTCTCAAGCATAAAAGCTTCCGGAGGCTCAGATACTGCAGGCACAGCCTATAAATACCGAAACAGCCGTTCAAAGAAGGCTATGAAGCAAGTGAATTTTACCATGCATATAGATTATCTGTCGTACTATCCAGTTACTACCAAGGTGTTTTCAGTCATACCTAGCTTCTAATTCTGAACACTACATGGTGAACCTGTGAATGATCAATTTTTTTCAGAGAAAGTAAATCCAAGCAGAAAGTTTCAAATTGAAAGGAAATAAAACTTACTGTAATTGGCACATCTTTTGTTCCTGAATTTAATAAATGCAGATTTAAAGTTTTTGGCAGATCTGTTAAAGAACAAAAAACACACCCGGCTATTAGGCTATTTTAACATAAGGACCTTATATAAAGTCATCTGCACTAGCTGGTTTCTCATATAAATCCACTCAGAAACTCATCATCATCATCAGAAACTGAAACTCATTCATTCAAACAGCAGGAACTAATCTTATTTAAAAATCTTTACACGTTAAGTTGCAAGGAAAAGTACCTCAGAAGCTACCATTTTTAGTTGGAAGAAGATATATCCTGTTTTTCTTCAGTAATGAGTCCCTTTTACAGTTTCAGAAGATACCTTCAGCTTTACTACTTTCAGCCATATACATACTACTTTTTTATTTCACTATACAATATTAATTTAAAATGTAAAATATTAGGCACAAACGTGTAAGAGGCACTTCAAAAAAAAAAATACCTTAAGTAACAAATTTTATCAAGTTCTCACACTTTCATTACTCCCTGTGTCTGAAAATTATTAAAACTTATCTAGATGTAAAGCAATCTTTCAACACAAGTTCACAAATTAACAATTGTTTTCAGACTAAGCCATGCACAACTGTGTAAGACCAATGTTGCTACTACACTTACAACTGGATGAGTAAGCTACTGTTTGCTTGTACACATCTCAAGTATACTTGCAGGTGAAGACATTTGTCCACTGCTCTAACACATTGTTATCCTGCTCTTGAAACTCTGGCTTTTAAAAATCATCATTCCACAAGCAACCCTCAGCAGTACAAAGACAACTGGGCTTTCGCCTCCTCACCCTACTCCTTACAAATATTTTGAGACCTGAAGTACAGTTTACCTTGTGTTCGTAGTGTACCAAAATCTAGCATTTCTGTTGATGAATAGATTCCTGGAGCTTTAAGAAAAAAAAAAAAGTTATCATTTTCTTATTATACTGAGTTAATTAAGCTGAGTAACTTGAAAAAAAATCCCCAAAAAACCCCAACCACTTTTCTACGAACCTGTTGTAACTTCTACTTCAACAGGGAGAATGATAAATTCTGTGTTGTCTGAGGCATTTGTTTTTATTCTAATGAAGGCTGTATGATTATCTGCTTCTCTTGAAGAAAAGCTGGCTCTCATCACTCCTTTTGTTTCATAGGGAGGTATTTCCTGATAAATAATCAAAGCACATCTATGAGAGTGCAGTAATTACAAAAAAACTGCCACACCAAAAAATTACAGAAGAAGCACGGAGTGTAATTGTATTAAGAGAAAAAGCTGCCATAGCAGTAAGAGATAGGCTGCATACTATTAAAATTACCATTAAATTTAGTAAGGATAGTTGTAATCATCTATTATGACACTGATTAAAAATAACTATATGCAAGAAGACTTTCACATCCCATTTGATTAAGTTTTATGTATTAAAATGTGGTAAAAAGACAGCAGACTAAATTGACAGAATCTTCCAATAAACAAAATCTAGTAATAAAAATGTTACTGATTACAGTAACACCAAATACTGTTTTTGTGTATTCTAATTTGTTTTTTCTCCAAAGCAGACATAAGGCACTGTTTGTGCTAAACACAAATCGAAATAGTGCAGAACGGCAAGTAGCCAGAAGCTTGTGGAGCTGCAGGTTTATTACTCACAAAGCCATTTACAGGGAAAAAAAAACAAAAACAAAAAATCAAGATCTGTTTTAGTTTCTGTACCAAGACTATTCCATCAGTTCCAATCTGCATTCAGGATTTGAAAGACAACTCTTCCTATATTTGCTGGACACAGCTGCAGCACAAGACTAGCTTCACAACCACAGCTGAAGGACTAACATTGCATATTCTTCCCCATCAAATTACAGAACAGTTGGGGAACTGGATTTTTTTCTTTTTTTTTTAAATAGAAGATTAAAACCTTCTTCCACTTGAAATGCAAACAAACATGGCAGAAAGGAGGAATTTGATGAGTAGTCCTTGCATCAACTGATGTTTCTGTTGACAGCTTCTTTCTTTTGTGTTTTTGATGAAGCAAACTGGACAGGATGCAATCCATATAGGTGCTGACTGTCTTACACATCCCTTCTGTGTAACTCATACCAATCCATTCTGGAGGTCAAGCCATATTTTCCACGGCACAATGACTGTAGATGTGTTCTTTGAAAACTGTTGAACATCAAGCTAGTTTCAACTGCCACTACTTTGTGTACTTTAAAGTTCTGTTTCCGCACTTATTCACAGATCTAACATAATGTAGCTGTTCATTACTGTTTCAAAGGATGTGATTTAACTCTTCCGTATGTGTAACCAGGGACACAAGGTTTGTCAGATCTCTGAAGTAACTTTGGACAGTGATTACAAAAATACTTGTGCATATGCAGACTGCTTCATCCAATTGTCCACATATCTGGCATCAAAAGAATTTTGGACGACGATATACATCCGTATGCCAAAGTATCATCAGTGCATTTCAAATAATTTCTTCTACTTTGCAGCTTTTTCTATGTGCAGTGCAGCTCTTGACATAGCCAATACAATGATACACCTGGTGTTTTCCTCTTACTGATTTAATTTCTGCTAGTTGCCTTATTGTTTTGAAATACCAATGGTTGATATGAGGACTAGCTCTGACTAGTATTAACCTAACTGCCTTTCCATGCAATAGACTGGAAGCTTTCACATGCGTGTCATCATTGCTTTAACTGGCATCCTGGCCTAGAGAAGCTAAAACCCCTCGTGCTCTGAAAAGCTACATGCTCAATAAACAGAGCTAGAAATAAACTGGACATTTAAAAATCTTCTAGTCTTTTGTTTGTGCCTCTAACATGTTTGTTACAGCCCTACTAATGGCTACAGAATTCAACATTCCCCTTGAGTTCTTTTGACAACAAGGAATGGGCTATCTTTAGAAGCAAAGCCATTTGAGTAAAATGGTGTCAAAACATTAGGACCTTCATTTTTTGAAACCCATTTTAGTGTTTAACATCTAACCCTCAGCATCTGTTTACTCTTTCCGCTCCATTTTTTAAAATGCTTGTGAACTGTATTCACATCACTTGTTTGCAACTTTTGTGTCTACAACTGAGACGCTGCCCTTCTCATGGACTTTCTCCAGAAAAGCCAGGAATTAAGTTTTGTGATTGTTCTCCTTAGCTCACTTGGAAATATCCTGGGTTTACTCATTACAACAGGTGTAAATGTCAGTGACTATAATGATACACCTGAGTAAGAGACAAGTTTTGGAGCCCAATGACTTTCAAGTCTCTCCCATACAAAAAACAGCCATCAAAAAAAGGAGTAATTCTAATTAAAGAGGAATACAGGTTTTGTATCTAGTTGGACATCACCAACAGTGTGATACGCAGCATGGAGCCAATACTCTACCTTCAGGATGCTTCTAAAACTCATTTCACTTAAAGATACCAGTGTGTGTTACTTTAAAACTACATTAAGTGAAGAACACAACAAAACAGATTTAATATAGGACAGATTGCGAGCCCATCCAACCTACTACCCTGTCTCCAGCAGCAGACACGAAGAGTAAAGAGTAAGTGCAGGGCGTGCATACAAGAACATTTTCCGAGACAGCTTCCAGCCACTCTTGACTCATGATCTAGGGATTTACTGCAGCTAGACATGCTGCTGGTTTATTTAGTAGTCTTTTAACAGATTCTTCTTCCCTAAGTTCATTCAGCTGCTTGTTCAACCCATGTAACCATTCATAGTGATCTGCAGGAAGGACTTTCTCCGGTTAAGAAAAAGGGAAAATTAAAACAAATTCCATGTATTTTTCCTGTAGGTTAGATCAAGCTCACAGGCCATCAGAAGGACTACATTGTCCTGAACGCTTAGGTAGGTGTAATTCATTCTAATGCGAATCACCTTATTCCTCTCATTTAAAAAAAACAGAGCTCAATACAGACAGCTTCTTTTAGTCAAAGCTTTTCTTCAATTCCAATATCATACAGTTAACGGACTCTGTCATTTTAAATTTTTATGGGATATTTTTAATGATTACATGACAAGAAACAAAGTTAGTAAAAAACCCCCCAAAATCTACCATCATATCAAAATAAAACCTCCTCAAACAGGTACAATGAATGCTGCAAGGCATGACTACTCACCCATAGTTTCCTTGTACCTCCCTGCTGACCTGTTGGAAGCTCTAAATGGAGATCACCTCCACTGGAATACATTTCTACCACCTGAGGCGGATAACAGGAAAATGTTAGCGCTCAAATTTAAAGTGGTTTAGTTAGCAGGTATAATGTGCACTGGGTCAGCAACTATTTGACCACTGGAGTATCTTATAAATTCACTTTAATGATGATATCGCCATTTGGTAGCGCTATTCTTTATGCACTTTCTGTAGCACTTCACAGTTTGTGGATCAATTCACAGATTCAGATCATTTACCAGTGGGCTATTCATTTACTTGTTGGGCTAGGCACAGACATCAATCCTGCCTTAACATAAGAATGCTTGCCAACGTTACATACTAGGGTACACCATAAAGGCACCTTATGCTGTGCAAAACAAGCAGAAGGAAGCTAAGAGGCATGCCTGGATTAAAAGCACAAGATCTATTTTACTTTTTTTGCTTCAGTATTTTTCGTAATCACCAGTGAAGTTTAATTCTTTATTTTGCAGTAATTGCGACCGTTTTAAAAATGGAAATTTCACAGTAAAACCTCAATTTAGCAAATTAAGACATCTATGAGCATAATCTACAATTTCTAGAACAACTGATTTGCATTTAAGCAGAAAAATATTTATATAACATGAAAGACAGTCTCAAATAGCTTTGAAGTTCAAACAGAACTTTAAGTACCAAAATAAACAAAACTTCAGTTTAATTTCATAAACATAAATGAGCATTTAACGGATTTCTCTTAGGCTCACCTGCAAAGGTTCACTGTGAGGGTTATGTATATTTATTATAGGAGAAAAACTGCTATTTACAGGAACTCGTGCCCCAATAAATGGGCGCAATCGATAGGGATTTGGTACCCCAATGCCAAACACCTGGTTCGGAAGAAGAAAAACAAGCTTAAGGAGCTGTATGTAACTGTTGCAGAGCCTAACATATGTGCGCCAATTTTAGTAATCTACCAAGAACTCTTTTAGATTAATTTTATAGCATATTAACCGAACATTTAAAACCAGTATCATGCTAAAGCACGGAAATAAAGAAATTGGTTTAGTTTGCAGCTAAAGGGCAATTCTCATAGCTACTACTTACTTACACTGACATATTTAGAACACAGGAAGTCAAAATAACACCTTTTTTTCTGATACTCTGAAAGACTAGATAACCAGCTAAAGGTTAAAAAGATGTGAAATATCCTTTAATCACACCATTAGGGACAGGCTATCCACATGGAAAGCATTTTCGTTGTTGTTTTCCAAACACTGCCATGGTACGAGTCATATTCTTTCAACAAGAGGATTCCTCTCACTTTTCAGGCTCTCATCTGTTTGGTTTATCCTTCTGAATCTCAAGTGAGTAATTTTTTTGCCAGCTTAACAAATAACATTGTCTTGTCACTGGATCAGATGAGTACAGAGCTAAAGAATGAGCTAGATCACTGCAATAAGCCACTAAAACAACACGCACAAAAAAGTTGTTGGGAGGATTTTAAACCCTACATAATTTCATCAATCTGGCATACGGTACTGCCCTACAGATATTTACAACGATATACCTCTGTGTTACAACAAGCAGCAGGGATGGAACCTCCTTCAACTGGGCTGATTAAAAAGCACACTATTGTGCAAATATCCTTGGATGGTTTAAACATGCCATAATAAATACTGCTCTGGTTGATTCACACTTCACAACTTTTTCCGAAAAAATGTAATTCTCTTACCTGATAAGTAAATACCCCATGATTAGAAGTGTTAATAAATAAAGTGTTCTCTACATTTCCCACTACTCTTGCGAGGAAAACTACATCAAAGGACGTATTCCCTCCCGGAAGAATTTTCTGAAAAAAATAAAATCAAGCAAGCAGGGAATAAGCAAAACTGCTTATTGAAGACATTCCACCCTGCAGATAAACAATAGTTTGTCCGCTACAAAAGATCTCCAAGCATTCTTTATGGAAAACTGAAGTTAGAAAGTCTACTGCAAATCGGGGGGGGGGACGGGGGGGGCGGGACGACACACACACACGACACAGA